TATTTGCTTTGGCTTGCCTAATTTTATGACATATCGGTCCAACAATAAATCAACCGGCACTGCCCCTCCCCCCCCCCCCCCAAAAAATAATGAAATGCGCCCTTCCCCTCCCACCCGTGGAAAATTTCTGTAATAATGACTGTCTGAGAGGGCCTTGAAATTGATAAAACGCACAAAACAGCTGTACGATTCTTAATACCCCTCTTCCTTCCACAAATTTACAGTTTGTGGTCGTAATCAGACAACAGGTAGTTATCAGGAAATAGGCATAATGGATATTTATTATTATTTTTTAAAAACAGCTTTTCCCAAAAAATAAATCTCAATTTACTAGGTAGCTTGTTTTGTTTTTATTAATGATTCCCCAATTTTTTACCGTGTCATTAATTCTTATTTAAATACATTTTATTTTATGCTGATCTGACTTGGAGTTTGAACCACGTCAAATTTCACCAGCAACTTTATTTTTAGCAATGATAATGTGACGTGCACTTTCACCTAAATAATATTTTATAACAATGGCTGATACACATCTGCAAAACAATGTGTCTGGCCCTTCCAAAAACCCATGTTTTTTTTGGTTAAAATTCATTTTTTGTTTTCGTTCATATTTTATCATCTTTTAAAAAAGTATAATAAAAATAATGTAACTTTAAATCTAAGCAAAATTTAAATTAAATTTTACATGTTTCTTAAATGTGCTTCCTTTTAAATAAGTTAGTTTAAAATCTTCATTTTTCCACTTTAAAAAAAAAATACCGATTTGTTATAGCAGTGGTCCCTAACCCCGGGCCGGTACCGGTCCGTTGATAAAATGGTACTGGGCCGCCCAGGAAACATTAAATTATTTCCATTTTATAAGCTTGCCAGATTTTCTAGATAAGTATGGACGTACGGACACAAAGGCTCACAGCAACCGGAACCATTACAGGCCCCAAACTCGTACGTCCAAGGAGCTTTTAGCCCCCATCCCTATTGAAAAAAACAAAGACATCAAACAATTTTTATGGGTAATTGTGACGTCACAGGATATTTTAAAAAAAAAATGAATCGCGTGTTTATACAGCCGACAATTTGGCCATCCCAGTGGTCCCCATATTATGCGTCGCTCTGGGTGCCATGTTGCCCTCAGGCAGGGCCATGAGAATGGGGCAAAGAGGGCAGTCACAGCGGGAATCAAATTATAAATCAAAACAATCCAAAATATTAACAATCAACACCCCCAAAACCCTCAGAGGGCCGCGGTAAAATTATCGAACGTTGACCGGTCCACGGCGATAAAAAGTTTGAGGACCACTGCACTGTGCTATCGAGTCTAAGCTCGTCAGGGTCACCAAAAGTCAGTAACACCTGCGCCTCAAGTGTCAAACTTTTTTGACACTTTAATAAATGAACAATTTAATTTGTAGCCCATCCCTTGTTATTGCGTCATAATTATCTCCCCTACCCAGTCTCTGCAACACTATCACAAGGGGGGGGGGGGATGGCGGGGGGTTGCGGGGTGTCCTTGGAGAACAGGTGCGCGACAAGCTACCACACACTCGCAAACAACAGCTGTTGAAGGATTGGCGTCGCCTTAGCCGATCGTCTGTGAGTGTGATACGGCCCCCCCCCCC